ATGGCAGCATCATTCTTCGAACTATAATTGAATCTTACTGGAGGTCTTTGCATATCAGAACTTTATTTTGCTACCTGTGGTGATGGGGACTGAAAATGTGCTATTTCTCACTAAAAGTCAGAGAGAAGAGGGCGAGAATGCAGATAACAAGGGTAGAGGGAAGGGCTGGGTGATTCTGGCCCTGAGGACTGCAAGAATTAGGAACCAGAAGGATGGCCCACCTTCCTTCTGCCCCCACCCCAGCCCTAGCAGTTGCTGGGAGACCCTACACAAGGCTTTCCCCCTCCATCCCCAATTCTTTAGATTTTATTGCTTTCCTCTCATGTTCACCAGTCTTGAAAGCACCTCCCCACTTGGGGCTTACACTTTGATGCCAAAAGACAAAACCTAAACCAATCATCACATTTACTATCCATCAAAATGTAGTGCAAATTAGGATAAGGGGACAGAAGGTGACAGAGGGGGAGAAGGTAACATGGTACAGAAAGTCGTGGGGGAGGCCGTGCTGCAAACCTTTTTCTGACAGAGACCTGAATGAAGCAGGGAGAGAGTCAGGCACATTCCTGTGGTCGGGGGTCCCAGACTAAGGAGCCCCCAGGAAGGGCCCAAGATGATCACTGGGGTGAACAAAGAAAATGCTTGAAACCCCATTAATATCTTTATCTGAAAATAAGAAATGAAGTGTGCCTGACATTGAGGATACTAATTTTAAAAGGAAAATATAATTCAAGTAAGGATATATGGGGTAGATGCTCAATTTGTTAAAAATTGTAGGGGTGGGAAATGAAAAGTTCAGAGATTCCTACTGCCTAAGGCAAGGGTAGATTTTCTCCTTGTCTGTATCTTCAGACCCCAACATATTATCTGAAAAAAGTAAGTATCAATATCCGGTGTGTATCTTTTGAATCTCCCCTACTTTACAGCAGAGTCCCTATCCTTTTGTATTTGTATAGCAACTAGACCCATGTCTTGCAGGCAAGTCCCTCACGAAGAACAGGTGAATGGATGGACGAAGGAAGGTTCAGTGTGGGGAGCAGTGATTCACCTGGCTCATGGTATGAAAACGCCAGAAAGACAGCCTCGGCACACTAAAGGACTCTGGGCTTGGCGTCAGACATGAGATAAAATAACCCTTGGAAGCACTGCCCATGGACAATCGATTTACCTTGTTTCTTAATCTGTGAGACAGGAATTGAATTGAATAGAAAGCAGGTAAAATGAGGCAATCCTATAAAAAATTCCAGAGCACAATGCCTGGCATTTGGTGGATCCTTCTTATAAGTTATCTCCCTCTCAACTCTCTTCACCTCCACTCCCCCACAGAGCCAGAAATAACAAGCACCAGGCTGGCTTTGCCCCCAAAAAGGTTTTTACAAAAACCCCAAGGACCCAGACTGAAGATGAGTTTGCCCAAAGATGGATGAGGTGGCCCTTAGCTGAAAAGAGGGTAAATAGGAAGAAAAAACAACCACCATGAGCTGTAGCAACTTTGGACTAACACGTGCACCTTCAGGGAGAACTAGACACAGCATCTCCAACGTGCACGTCTCCAGACCGATAATCAGAGTGGGCAAACTGACACCATGCTGCCATTGGCCATCAGGAGTGTCAGTCCTCACACAGCTCCCTCCCACCTCCACTCCCTGTGTCTCTCCCAGGCCTATCAGATTTATCTTCTGGTGCCATCTTTAGGCCAAGCCCAGAACTCCAGCCGTCCTGAAGAAGCCTTTGGTCACAGCGAGTACCTTTGACTTCACGCGCAGGGCACGGTTTAGGTGCTGTGTTAGCAAACGCCGGGGTGGTCCCTGAAGCTGCGAATTAGAGAGCCGGGGCGCTGAGGCAGGGTCACAGAGGGATGTGTGTGTGGGGGGGGGGCAGCGGGGAGCCGTACAGGAAGGTACCCTCCTGTGTGTGTCTTCTTTTCTTAGCATAGTTGGGCCACGGGTCTGTATGGGAAGGTTTGCCCGCTGAGGCTTCAGGGCTGCCCCAAAGCTGGTTGTTGGAAGTTTAGAGACCCTGCCTCAGTCCTCTCTAAAACAGAGGGCAGCTTCTAAGACAGGGCGGGGTGACCCGTCTGAACTCCTGGAAGGAGAAGAACAAACCGTGGGTGTGTGCCAATGGTTCTGCTTTTGACACGGAGAACAAGAGATGCTAACCCACTCCAACTGGAAAATAAGGAATGAAGCAGACGAATGCACTTAATGCTGGAAGCCCAGGGAGGGTCAGGAAGGGCCAGGGAGTGTGCGTGGGAGGGAAGAATACAGATCTCAAAAAAAGCCAGAGAGAGGGGCTTTGGCCCATGATGATAATGCTGCTGGCCATTAAGAGAGACGTATATTTGAGGTAAAGTGAAAATTAAAAGAAAAACCGTTCACAGAGAGATATTACCTCAGCAGAACACAAAAACGACTGCCTTGCTCGAAGATCCTGTTTCTTAGGTGACATGTATATTTTTAGTGCCTGCTGGATCACTGTTGTCTGTAATGATCGTCCAAACAACACATCCTTTCTGCTAATCCCAGAGTCTCCCAGCACCTTGAATCTAGCTCATGTTGAATGCTTCTCTTCCCTCTTCATTACCAGTCAATGTCGCTTGAACTAATTAGTGAGATGCCACTTGAGGTGGCATCTCCCATTCCGGCGTTAAGGGTAAAGCTGACCCACACGAAGGAGCCAACGGCCTACAGCCGGCTGGGTCAGGACCTACAGGTACAGAGCAGATGTCGTGGCTGTGCCCTGAGAGCTTTCACGCAAACCCACGACAACTTGGCAGTAAGACAGAACAGGGAGGGTTCAAGGAGGCTGTGGAGCCCCCAAGGAAACGTCACCTTCAGCTGATGTTTATGTGGAGCAGATGAAATTTTTCAAGTCCCCAGGAACACAGTGTTTACCCTGAAAGGCCACCACTGCCCATCCCCTTGGAACCATGGACCTTGTTAAGTGTATACAGTAAATCTTCTGCATTTTATTTTAGTGCAGCAAGAATACACTCGGCCAAGTGGCAGGTGGCGGGGCAATTTTACGGTTGTTAATCCCATAAACTGGTAGAAACCACTACGTGGCTGGTAGAAGCGGGAATGCATCGAATTCAGTCAGGGACAAGCCAGTGCCTTTGGGAACTGACTGCTTCATGAATCCCTGGAAGTCACCATACCAACAGGAGAATTACTGACACACACACTCACATGTGCACACATACACACCATTCATGTAATACACAGCAGCCCCTCCCTCAGACTTCCCCACATGAGTTAATGCAGACTATCTTTTGCTTGCGAAAGGCAAAGCCCAGGAGTCATCCAAGAGCCCTCTTTCTCTCTCATTTCTGGAACACCATGCCCACAATTACACAATCTCATGGGCTTGCCCTTCAAAATAAATGCAGAAAGCCACCGCTTCCCACAGCTCCACCCCTTTGAAATCCGGGGGCCCTGCCACCCTTCTTCTGCATCCACCTCCCATGCCCACTTCACTGTCCACGCTGCTGCCAATACTTTTTTCTTCAAAATATAAACACGTTATATTATGCCCCTGCTTAAAACTGTTTAGAATACATCTCCCACTTATACTACATTCCAGAATTTTACTATGGTCTACCAGGTGCTTAGTGCCAAAGGAACATGCAAGCACTCCTGAAGGTATGTTTCACCGCATGGCGCATTTTCTGTCTGCAGAGACGTCAGGTGACTTCCACGGCACCACTGAGACTGCCTCTTCTTCCCTTGTCACGTTCAGTAGCTACAGGTCCTACGAGGAAAGACAAACTTTGCTCCGAGTGTGTGTGCTTATCAGTCCCCTGTACCACTTGAGGATGATTTAAGGAATAACCGGGATTTGGTAAAATGCTCAGTTTTTCCTTTTCTTTCTAACTTTTTTCACCCTATGTTTACATGTAGGCTCCTAAGGTCTGCTCTGTGCAAACCCCACCCAACACCTGGAGGGCAGCAGTGATTCTACTTCTCAGAGGGTGATTCATATCCCACCAAGTCGGGGAAAAGCTCTCCCCTCTGCTCCGCCCACATCCCCAACTTTCTCATAAACGTCTACCTTTCCCTGAGTTAGGAAAGGAGTTGTCACCATCGTCACGAAGCAATTATGTCCTCCCCCTCTTTGACCAGCTTTTCAAACCCAGCTCCCAGTACTGAAGGGATCTGCCCCTGTTCGGGTTCTTAAAGAGCAAGTGTTGTCCGAAGCCCCTCCAGGGCGTGCCTTTGGTCGGTCGTGCTTTGGCAGACGCCTGACTCTGAGGTCCTCAATGGGGACCTGCGAGTTCTGAGTCCAGCAAGGCGCCTCCAGGACCTCAGGGGGGCGGGTGCGGCCCCCTCCTCCATCTGTCAGCGTGTGATGTGCGTCAGGCCCTGGGACAAGCTGGCTCACTTGCTGGTGGGGAAGGGGGGAGGTGAAGTGGGGGGTCCCCAGGTCCCTGCAGAACCCACATGGAAGCTGCGGGCTGCTTCCTGCCTGCCTGCGGGGGGGCCGGGGTCCAAGTTTTCCCTTGGAAGCCGGTGGGGTGCGGGGCACGGAAGGAGGCCCGCGGGATCAGTACAGCTTCCCCTTTGGGTGAGGGGCGGGGACGAGAAGGCGGGTCCGGGTTCCTTAACTTCTTCTAGAAAAGGAGAAAGCCGGTCGAGCAGGAAGCAGGTAGGCGGGTGAGGTCGGGCGGGAACTGGGGGCCGCAGGTTTGGCCTCCCCACAACCAGCCCGTTCCTGTCGTGCCTGCCACTCGCGTGCGCTACCTCGCCATCTGTGGTCCAGAAGAGGCGCCCGGTCTGCAGCGCGGGATTTCCCGCTTCCTCCCGGGCTATAAATTCAGGGGACAGCCCTCTGAGCGCCGTCTCCGAAGCTGCTGCCACTCCCGGGGCGGCGGCCGCGGGCACGAGCGCGGGCAGACTCTCGGCTGCTGTGAGTTCTTCTCCTGCGTTCCAGTCGGACCTGGAGCTCTTACTGGGGGTGGTTGGCCTGGGGGCTTGGGGGGTGGGGGCGGGGAGGAAGGAAGGAGAGGCCCCTTCCCATTGTGGACAGCTCCCCGCTCCCGGAATGTCACTTGGAGACAGTCTAGGCAGCTGTTCCAATCCAAGCTGTGTGAGCAGCTGCGGGGCGGGGAGGGGCTCTGTGTTCGAAGAGCGACCTCCAGGACTGCACTTAGACTTGCCGGGTGGAGGTCCTGCAGGGCGAGATCCTGTCACAAGTCCACACAGGCCTTAGGTCCTTCACGGGCACAATCACAGTTTAATCCCAGCCAAGCTCCTTCCTTCCCAAATGAGAAAACTGCCATGCCCCCTGCCTCCGTGGGGTGCAGGGACAGGCTTGGGGGAAAGAAATCCCCTGCTTGGTTTTTCCTTGTTGTGGGCTGGGGCTGGGGGGTTCTTCTCTGCCCTCAGGTAGTTTCCACCATGGGTCTCCTGGCCCTTCTCAGCTGAATCCTTGAGGGGAGCCCTCTGCCTGTGGCCCACAGTTCCGTGTGTCTCCTTGGCATCTCAGCTCTATCTCCTCCAAACGGGAATTCCAAAGCCTCTGCCCTGCTGCCCTTTAGTGCCCGCTGGCCTGGAACGTCTCAGGGCAGTCACCCCCAGTAGTCACAGTGTGCATGTCCTGTGGAGTGGTCTCTAACTGCGTGATGTCCAGTCCCTTGCCAGCCAAGGTTTCATTTGTGTTGCCCATTTTCTCTTGTTTTCTTTCCAGACAGGAGGGTAAGTCCAGTCCCTCCTCTCTCCATTTGGCCAGAAGTCCAAGGTAGTATCTGTTTTACTGTTCTCGTTCTATCCAGGTCTCACCTCTGGGCCTGTTATTCTTCATTGATGGATGGCTCTCCTCATTGTGGGCAATATTTTCCTGCTTCTCTCTATGCCCGATCATTTTGGACTGGATAGCAAGCTCTGCTAATTTCTGCTAATTTCACATTTGGGGGCGTTGCTGGAGATGCTTCTGTTTCCCTCACTGTGCCTCCGCTTTGCTCTCATGCACAGTTACTGTCCTCGGAAGCATCTGTATCCTTGTAAGTGGTACTTTCTGGGTCCGTCAGGTGGCACCAGAGCAGCCTTTCCCGGAGGGCTGCTTTTGTCCCGCTGTGGAGGCGACACCTTTCTGAATGCTCTGCCTGGGAGTTTATGAATAATGCAGTCCATGAATGATCACTGTTGGGCGCAGAAACTATTCTCAGCCCTGTGTGAGCCACAGGATTGTCCCACGTTTCCCTCAGAGGGGAGGGCTCCTTCGTCACTGTCCCCCAGTGACAGAGACTTGGCTGGAATTCATGGGGAGCCCACCACGGGCCTCCTCTCCCCATTTCTCTGTCCGGGGAGCTGCTGCGCTCCTCTCTCTCTAGTTCTTTGCCCCACAAACTCAAGCCTCCCAGCCCTCCCACAACTCTCCCCTCGTCTTCTCAACCCAAGGAAACAAACTGCCAGGTGCTGTGTGCTGCCCCTCCCAACACGTGCGTGGGCTGGAAACTCTCCACAAAGTCATCTGGTCGTCCATAGGGCTTAGCTCAGGTGCCTTCCCTCTCTCAGGGGTCAGGGATCACGTTCTGAGATGCCCGATGCCCAGTGTTTGAAAGCTGTGTGACATTTCGTATATCTTGCCTTGTATTGTTTCAGTCATTTGCAGTGGGAGGATCCACCCAGAGCCTGTTCCTTCCCCTGGGCCAGCAGTGGAAGTGAGTGAGATTCTCTTAGGCCTCATCATGAATCCCGTGAAATGTGAAGAGAACAAGTCACTGGGTGCCATTGAAAAGGACCAGACCTCCAGACCTGAAGTCACAAAGGTATGCCTGCACTTTGCACCTCCTGCCTGGAAGAGCACTCTCACCACAGTGCTTGCTGCATTAGGGCCCTGGGAGGGCTTAGTTCGTAAAGAATGGCGGTCGCAAGCCCTTCTCGTGGGCTGCCAAATTCGTTTGGGGATATCACCTACATAAGTGCTTGTGAAAAATGAAGTGATACTTTATGAACTCACCATGCCAAAAGCACCTTGTTGTACCAGGTGACTAGTTGACAGAATATACACTTAATGTCATTGGGGTCATAGACAGACGTAAATAGTAACAGTGCTAATATTTACTGAGAGGTGACTGTGTCCCTGGGATTATGCTTTTCACCTCCTAGGGATTATCTTAGTTAACACTTAATGCAACTCTCTGCAATAAATATTACTACCGTCCCTCTTTCACAGAAGAAGAAAGTGACCCCCAACTTTATGAGAGTAACAAAAGACATGGACTTCAGAGCAAGGGTTTTTGCACCCAGTCAGTCAGGCAGTCAGGACCCAGTTTTTGACCAGCCCTCCCTGTTTCTGAAAAATAGGCAAAACAGTAATATTAAGTCGAGGTAGTCACAAGTGGTTTTAGGGTGCAGAAAGAAGAATGCTTATTTGTTTCTATATGAATATGCACACTTGTTTGCACTTGAATATGTTTACCTGTTTGTCTATCTAGTCTTGTAATTTATCAAGCATTTTATTGTATTTCCCTAGTTTTCTTAAAACTGTGTACACGTAGAAGCTAAACAGATAAGATACTTATTGAGAATGTTTGAAAGGGGATGTTTCCAATGTCCAAAAGATGTGTTAAGTAAGTCCAGCTTTACTAGTAAGGGAACAATGTTGACAGATTAAAAAACAGTCAAATTAGATGCCATTTCATCTATCAATGGGCAAACATTTGTAATACTACTACTGAGATGCTTTAGAGAGTCAACCACACAGTTCATCTCATTGGACAGTGGGGCAGATTGATGGGACTTATCTGGAAAGCAGCTTGGCCGTGGATATGTTGTGAAAGACATTTATAATCTTTATCTCAGTATTTCCACTGCTGGGAATCTGGCCTAGGGAAATAATCGGATGGACAGACAGAAATGTTTTGAGTGTAGAAATGTTTGTCATATGAGAGTAGTTAAACACTGGAGACAGTCTAAATATCCAGCAATCGAAGAATAGATTGAAAGTTATTGTGGGGGGGGCGACTTTTCCCACAAGTCCCCCCATCCACCATGGATGAGAGTAAACACTACTAAGACATGATTGCTTGAGGAGGAGAGGCAGTTTCTCTAAAGAAAAAAAGGCCTGGAGAGGTGGCCAGTTTCTCAGAGGAAAAAGGCCTTGAGCCCATTCCTCCAGGGGCTTTTATTGGGTTGTAGTACACAGGAATACAGGATCGAACAGTAGATAATATTTCAAACAAATCTGAGGGCTTAGTCTGAGTCAGAGTCTGTCAGGGAAGGAGTTGCAGAGACTTTAGGGTTTCCTGCCCAGACCCTTAACATATGAATGAAAGCACTCTTAGCAAAGCAGGTTTCACAGGATTTTTAGGAATTCTTTGTGATGGCAGATTTTTCCCAGATCCCCCCTAGCAAGGCAAGAAGCTGCCCCCCTCCCCATCAGGTTTTCAGGCTTAAGGGGATTGGAGCCAGGAAGCGCTTCTCCCAGAGGACATGGGAACTCGGGGTATGTCACATAGCTGGGGGGAGGGGAGCGGGGGCAAGGGTCCATTGCTCCCACTTTGTTGCAGCCCCTCCCCCCGCCCGGAGTCCTTCCATGAAGGCCTCCCAAGTGATCAAGTCTAGCTTAGGTTACCCCTTGCTGTGAGGAGACTTACCTGTCATTGACTTCCGACCATGCTTTGGGGGCAGGGAGGAAACTGAGGCAGCATTCACTACCGGAGGCAAGCTTTTGTCTCCTGTGGCTCGCAATTCCGGAGGTTGCTCACTCATCCTTAGCCATGGGGGGTAGTTACAATTCCTGAAACCAGGCAAAGCAGTCCACAACAATTGTGCACTGAAAATATAATATGGCCCATCGAATTCTGCTTTCAAAGGTTGTCTAATGACCTGAGAAAGCAATGGTGGATTGCTCACTGACAAACACACTCTTAACCTAGTATAATTTCAAGTAACTTAAGATTTCTATCTGCATATCAAGTCTTTAAAGCAAAAAGAAAGTGCAGAATGGTAGTTTTCGGTGTTGGACTAATGACGGACAGTTTTCTCCATTATTCAGCATCCATCACGTCATCTAATTTTTGCCCAGATATGTACTAGTTTTCCAATTATAAAACATGAAACATCATTATTAAGGGTGATTCTTACGGGAAGTTTCATTTTTCCTTTCTTAAGGATATTGTCACGAAGCAGACATGTCCCGGCACAACAGTTGACCCTTCTCCATCTGACGCGGGCAAGTGTAGCAGCACCGTTCAACGTGAAGGTGGTGGGCATTTAGCATCCCCTAAAATTCAGAGCTCAGGGCTGAGCAGGAGTGGCAAGTGCTGTTTCCGCTTTACTTTCAAAGAAGGCTCCGGGAAAAGAGACCATAGCGTGTTTAGAGCATGTGGCCAACTCAATGAGAGTATCGACTCAGCTCTGAGAGCTAATGAAAATGTCCTCAAAAGGATAGAGAATTGTTTGAATAAGAACATTTTTGCCTATGGACAGGAAGCAATACAAGGATATATCAATTTAGGAATGCCTCTCAAGTGCCTACCAGAAGGTTCTAAACTTGAAATATCAATTGGTCAGAGAAAGGGGACTCAGGAGGAAGGTGATCAGATATTACGCCACTATGAAAATCCCAGCATCGAGTGCGTTCTTTTCCACGTTGTGGCTATTGGGAGGACAAGAAGGACGATTGTTAGCAACAGGGCCCTTCATGAAACAGGAAGTACACTTTGTATCTACGCCTTGAAGGGTGAGACTCTCCGAGACGCCCTGTGCAAAGATGGCCGATTTCGGTCTGACCTGGACGAATTCGAGTGGAAACTCATAGAAAATCATACAAACATTCATGGAAAACAGTCCACGGTGGAGGAAGTAGCTGGAAAAACCTTAGAACTGGACATTTCTAAAAAGCCACCAGCCAGGAAACGTACCCCCCTGAAAACTGAACAGAAGAATGAAAACGCCACGGGTGAAATCAGGCCCTATGATGTGATGCCAAGGCAGACTCAGGTCCACCAAGCAGAGCCCGATGGAGAGTCTGAAGGTGTAGAACACGACCGAGAAAACGTTCTGCCACTTCGAAGTCTAGGCAATGGCCTGGAAGGTAAAAAACACCGGACAAATTCCAGAAGTAAAAATGATTACAGAGAGAGCAACAGAAAACGTAGGAAACAAACTTCACAGGCTTTGGAAAGGCCTCGTCTGCATATGGAAAGTGCTATTAATTGGGATATGCAGGGGGAGGCAACCCATCTCTGGGTAAAGAACTGCACAGTGTTGGGCCACGTTGTTATGCGATGCAATCCGTATATTAGTGAGGATGCACTTTGGATGAGAACTTTCTTTGAGGAGGAACAGAAGATAATCCAACGGCCTTCATCCCAACAATTCAAAATATATAAAAATTGCTTTGCCAAAGTAACTAAAAATTCTGTTTCCGTTGCAACCTGTGAACGTCATACTCAACTTAGTAAGTCAGTTGGGTTCGTGAGATGGGAAAATAACGGCACCACAGGCAATGCTACTTGCTTCCTGTTCAATGATGGTTATATCTTCACTTGTCGACACGTTGTACACTTGATGGTTGGAGAAGAGACAAATCAGAGTCTGTGGTCAGATATGATAAGCAAATGTGCAAAGGTAACTTTCACTTTTAAAGAATTCTGTCCCCCTGCTGAAGAATGGTTTTCCCTCGAGCCATGGCTTCAAGTGTCTAATGAAGGTCCAGATTATGCCATTTTAAAACTAAGAGAAAATGGAAATGGATTTCCTCCAGGACTAGTTGGCCACACTTCCTCTCTGCCACCTAGTGGTTTGATTTATATAATTGGTCACCCAGAAGGCCGGAGGAAGGAAATAGATGGGTGTGCTATCATTACTCTAAAAAAGCGTGAAGAGAGGTACTCCCAGCTCCTTCAAGATAAGGTGGAAGTGGTGGGACTGAAAGCTGCCACTCATGTTCTTTGCTCGATGTTCACCCCAAGAAGTTTCCCACCAGAGGCTTACAGCACTGAAACACTTAGTTATGATACTTGCTTTGCGAGTGGGTCCTCAGGCTCCCCAGTGTTTGATGCAGACGGCAAAGTGGTTGCTGTGCACTCCTTTGGGATGTTTTATAAAAGGGAAAATAAGGAGCATGCCTTTATTGAATTTGGCTATTCTATCGATTCAATTCTTCGTGATCTCCAACAGAGGAACGAGCCATTGTATAAACTGTTAACTGCAGAGAAGTAGGAGAACCTAAATCAAGAGAAAAATAACCAACAAGAGTCATCACTTCGAGATGATCAGGTAGAACCCATGGAACATTAGGGGGAAAGGAGCCCTGGCCAGGTGGTTTTGCTGGTTAAAGTGTCATCCTGTACACCAAGAGTCTGTGGGTTTGATCCCCGGTCAGACCACATACCTGAGTCACATGTGGGATTCCTGGTTGTGTCGCAAGTGGGAGGCAATGAATTATGTTCTCATATCAGTGTTTCTCTCTCCCCACTCCCTTTGCTCCTTTTCTCTCTCTTTCTCTCCCTCTAGCTCTCAAACTCAATAAACATATAATTATGTGGGGATTAAAAAGAAAATATGTCAATAATTGAGAGTGTCCAGAATGGCTTCTTTAAAGTATACTGAATATGCTTTCTTATTTAGAAAACTTTTAGAGAATTATGTGGCTGTGCAGAACATGTGTTAGAGCTGAAATAAATACTGAGTTTTTTGCTCATTGGCTTGTTTTTTAATTTGAAATGCTTTCAACCTCACATCAAATACTTAGGGTTTTTTTTTTTTTTTTGCATATAAAGAACTTGGCATTTGGCATTAGGTATAGCCCCCAGCTTCACCATGGGAATCCAGTCTCCTTCCTATGGCCTACAAGGTGCTTAGTGCCAAGGGCATATATAAGCACCCTGTGAAGCACATTTCATTTCGAGGGTACGCTCTCTGTCCCCGGGGCTGTGAGGTAACTCGCACATCACCATTCCCTACCACCTCTCACCTCCCCCTTTTCACATGTACAAGGAAAGACAAGCTTCTACACGGAAGACAATTGGCAAGTCCCCTTGTACAGTAACTTGTTCTCCAGCTCTGTGTGTGTTTGTGTGGGCACCTGTCGACTATACCTCTTGAGGATGATTTAAGGAATAAACCGGACTTGATAAAACTCAGTTTTCGCTTTTTCTAACTTTTTTCGCCCAATTTTACATGTGTGCTCCTAATGTCTGCTCTGTGCAAATCCCACCCAGCACCCGGAATGCAGCAGTGATTCTACTTCTCGGTGGGTGATTCACATCCGGCCAAGTCGGGGAAAAGCTCCACCCTGTGCTCCGCCCACATCCCCAACTTTCTCGCAAACCCGGACCTTTCCTTGAGTTAGGAAAGGCCTTGTCACCATCGTCAGGCAGCAATTATGTTCTCCCCCTCTCTGACCAGCTTTTCAAACATCGCTCCCAGTACCTAAGGGATCTGCCCCGTTTGGCTTCTTAAACAGCAAGTGTTGTCCGAAACCCCTCCAGGGCCCGCCTTTGGTCGGTCGTGCCTTGGAAGACGCCCGACTCTGAGGTCCTCCATGGGGACCTGCGAGTTCTGAGTCCAGCGAGGCGCCTCCAGGACCCAGGGGTGCGGGTGCGGCCTCCTCCTCCAGGTGCCAGAGTGTGATGTGCGTCAGGCCCTGGGACAAGCTGGCTCACTTGCTGGTGGGGAAGGGGGGGAGGTGAAGTGGGGGTCCCCAGGTCCCTGCAGACCCCACACGGCAGCAGCGGGCTGCCTGCTGCCTGCGTGGGTGCCAACTGGTCCCCTGGAAGCCGGTGGGGCGCGGGGCACAGAAGGACGCCCGCGGGACCCGGACAGCTGCCTCTGTCGCGTCGGGGCGATGTCCTGCAGCCGCTGCCAGGTTGAAACCGGGATGCTTGTCCCACCCTCGCCCACCCCGCAGTGGCCAAGGGACTGCGAGCACCGTGCACTAAGCACCAGGGGCGGCGGGGAGCGGCCGTTCGCTCCGCAGCTCCTGAAGCTGGGCCTGTGGCTCCGGCTCTACAATCAAAATGCGGGAAGAGTTGGAAGCAACCTAGGTGCCCATCGGTAAATGAATGGATCAAAAAAGTGTGGTACATATACACAATGGAATTCTATGCAGCAGAGAGAAAGAAGGAGCCACTACCCTTTGCAACAACATGGATGGAACTGGAAAGCATTATGCTGAGTGAAATAGGCCAGGCGTTGAAAGACAAATACCATATGATCTCACCTTTAACAGGAAGCTAAACAACAAAACAAACAAGCAAGCAGGAAAAAAACAAACAAACAAAGACACTGAAATAGAGAACAAGGGGACAGTGACCAGAGGGGAGAGGGAAGGGAAGTTAAGGGGGAAAAGAGGGAAGGATTTGGAAGAACAAATAGGAAGGACACAGGGACGAGAACTAAGGGGGGTGGAAATGGGAGGGAGGTGGGGAGCAAGGGGCGGGGGAGGCTGGGATGGGAGAAATAGACAAAAAACTGTACTTGAAAAATAACTGAATAAAATTAAAAATTAAAAAAAAAAACGCGGGAAAATCGCGGGTCACCAGGCTTTCCCCCCGCCGGCCCTGCGCTCGCCCAGGTCCACCCGCAGCAACAGCGGACACGGAGGGGAGAGGCAGGGAGAGCGGGTCCCGGCGGCTGGAGGTCTGCGGGGAAGGCGGAAGCCGGCAGAGCGCGGGGCTGGGAAGGCGCGAGCGGGTGGGTGGGGTTGGGCGGGAAGGGGGAGCCAGCGGCTTGGCTTCCCCACTGGCCACTCTTTCCCGCCGCGCCACTGGCGGCCACAGTGTCTCCTGCTATTGGCCAGAGCGGTGCCGGGTCTGCAGCAGGTGATTTCCCTCTTACTCCTGGGCTATACGTTCGGGGGACAGGCCACCGAACAGCCCGCTGAGCGCCTTCTCGGAAGCTCCTGCCACTCCCAGGGCGGCGGCCGCGGGCAAGGTCAAGGGCAGACTCTCGGCTTCTGTGAGTGCTTCTCCTGCGTTTGACTCGGACCTGGAGCTCTTAGCAGGTCATTTAGCTTGGAGGTTTGGGGGTGGCGGGAGGGAGGGAGAGGCAGCTTCCCCTCATGGGAACTCCCTTCAGGTCCCGGCCTCCAAAGATCAAGACACTTGCAGACCGTCTAGGCAGCTGCTAACCCTGGAAGAGCCTTGTAGATATGAACCTGAAAATAACCGTGCTACCAGCAGACGGGTTACCCAAAGATGGGAAAGCTTTCACATCTCACTCCCACCCGCCGCCTGCCCAGCTGGTCGGAGCTAACTTGGTTGCTCCTTTCTGCGCAGCTCCAACAAGAACTGACCTCGGGTTGGCTCTGGATTAGAGTTCGCGCGCTGGTTGCCGGCAGGTGCTCAGCAGCTGGGAGAAGAAGGACCCGGTCCCCCCTCCTCTGGACTGTGTTGGACAGCGCTGCCCACCTGCCTGCCCAAGACTGCCCAGGTTTTATTGCGGTGGCTGCTTTTTGTCAGGAGCTGTGTACTGGGACGGAGTCGGGGGGACTGAGATCGTGGTGGTGGGCTTGATGGAGGCCTAGGGTCAGCCGGATCGCAAATGTGCCCTCTACAACCTAGCTCAGCTCTAGCAGGCCAGGCCAGCGCAGAGAGAAGAGTGAGAAGGGAGAGTGGTGAGGGTAGGATAGGGGAAGAAGGAGGCGTGGAGCAGAAGGGGAAGAGAGAGACAGGGGTTGGGGTTGGGGGGGCAGGGAGGAGGGAGAAGAGTGCAGACTGAGGAGGAGCCGGAAGGAGAGGGAAGTAGTGGGGAGGTCACAGAGATCTCAACAGAGATCACAGAGAAAGAGAGAGATAGGAGATGAGGGGGGAGATGAAACTTCAGGGGAGGCCCTTGGGAGGGCTGGAAATGGACCCAGGACAGGCTGTACATTTCTCTTTACTGGAGAACATAGGGTCAGCCCTTTAGGTCAGTAGAACCTTCACTCCTCCAACCATAATGCTGGGTTTGGAGCAGGGTCGCTTAGGACACTTCACATTTCCATATAGCAGGGCTCAGTCTGGATACAGAAAACCATGTTGGGGAGGGGATACAGGGTATTTTCCTAACCTTTTGCCCCCTCCACTATGACTGCTCAAGTTCATTCCAATAGAGTGCAAAACTCACAACTGTTCCTTCCCACTTTATATTTCTTTTTTGGTCCATGTGTACTAATCACTTCTAAAGCACCTGGGTCTTCTCCCAAATTCCAAAAGATGAGTCAGTGGCAGCAGCAGACACAGTGAAACCCCCACATTCTTTTAGTTTGGGGGTAGTAAGTTCCTGCCTTCAAGGACCTGTGCAACATGGCGTATCTCCTCTGTTACAGGTATCTCATTTTTGTTTTCCCAGGGTCTCTGCTATTCGTAAAGTCTCCCTGTGGTAAGTATATTGATGATAGTAATAATACTAACCATAGTAATATTTACTGGGCAACCTGTGCTGTGCCAGGCACTGTTCTAGCAACATTCCATTCATTATATTCTTTAATCTTCACAACAAGGGAGGCTCACAGCACCACTACTTCCATCTTAGAAGAGTGGAGAGTAAGGGACAGTATTAATTAACATGCCCAAGCTCAAGCAGCTAGTAAATGGTGGTCTGAAATTTGAAGCTAAGTGGACTTACAAGTAACATTGATATAGCACTTCCATATTCATTATCTCGTGTGGAATCATTGCCTCAGTGTACAAACAGAAAGCTAAGGCTGAGAGAGGCTGAAGTGAGGCTCCTGAGAAGCTCATGATCAGTAAATGATGAAGCCAGGGCTCCCACTGCATAGTGGAATGGTGAAGAGAGGAAGCAGAGTCTGTATTGATTTGTTGCACCTCAAATTTTAAAATGGTACTTATTAGTATAGTTAATAAATAGCTAAAGTTGAAGATAGTTATTTGTGCTTTTTAGGTTTTTTTGTGTGTGTGATTTCAAAAATTTTATTGCTTAGAATGAGGCTGAAGGAAGTAGCATGGTCTGTTTTAACACTGGCAGACTTGTGAGTGATGTGGCCACACCCGAACTAGTTTAATGATTGTATCTGTCTTTTTTTTATTTAATTATTTTTAAGTACAGTTTTCTGCCTATTACTCCCATCCCAGCCCACTTCCCATGCTCCCCACCGCCCTCCCATTTCCACCCTCCTTAGCTGTTGTCCATGTGTCCTTTATGCTAGTTCCTGTAAATCCTTCCCCTTTTTCCCCCTGAAATCCCCTCCCCTCTCCCCTCTGGTCACTGTCCCCTTGTTCTCTATTTCAGTGTCTTTGTTTTTATTTTGCTTGCTTGTTCGTTTTGTTGTTTAGCTTCCTGTTAAAGGTGAGATCATATGGTATTTGTCTTTCACCACCTGGCTTATTTCACTAAGCATAATGCTTTCCAGTTCCATCCATGCTGTTGCAGAGGGTAGTAGCTCCTTCTTTCTTTCTGCTGCATAGAATTCCATTGTCTATATGTACCACAATTTTTTGATCCATTCATTTACTGATGGGCACCTAGGTTGCTTCCAGCTCTTGGCTATTGTAAATTGTGCTGCTATGAATATTGGGGTGCATAGGTTCTTTTGGATTGGTGTTTTAGGGTTCTTAGGATATAGTCCCAGCAATGGAATTGCTGGGTCATAAGGCAGGTCCATTTTTAGTTTTCTGAGAAAATTCCATACTGTTTTCTATAATGGTTGTACCAGTCTGCATTCCCACCAACAGTGAACTAGGGACCCCTTTTCCCCACAACCTCTCCAACATTTGTTGTTTGTTACTTTGTTTATGATGGCCATTCTGACTGGTGTAAGGTGGTATCTCATTGTGGTTTTAATTTGCATCTCTCTGATAGCTAGTGATATTGAGCATCTTTTCATGTGTCTCTTGATCCTCTGTATGTCCTCCTTGGAGAAGTGTCTGTTCAAGTCCTTTTCCCATTTTTTAATTGGGTTATTTGTCTTCTTAGAGTGGAGTCGTGTAAGTTCTTTGTATATTTTGGAGATTAAACCCTTGTCTGAGGTATCATTGGCAATTATATTTTCCCATACACTTGGTTGTCTTTTTATTTTAATACTGTTTTCTTTAGCCACGCAGAAGCTTTTTATTTTCATGAGATCCTATTTGTTTATTCTTTCCTTTATATTCCTTGCTCTACGGGACATATCAGTAAAAATGTTGCTGCATGAAATACCTGAGATTTTCCTGCCAATGTTCTCCTCTAGGACTTTAATGGTGTCACGGCTTATATTTAAGTCTTTTATCCACCTTGAATTTATTTTGGTGTATGGCGTAAGTTTGTGCTCAAGTTTCATTTTTTTTCTTTTGCACATAGCCATCCAGTTGTCCCAACACCATTTGTTAAAGAGCCTATCTTTACTCCATTTTATGTTACTGCCCCCTTCGTCAAATATTAATTGACTGTAGAGAGTTGGGTTGATTTCTGGGCTCTCTGTTCTGTTCTATTGGTCTATGTGCCTGTTTTTATGCCAGTACCAGGCTGTTTTGATTACAGTGGCCTTGTAATACAGTTTGATATCAGGTATTGTGATCCCTCCTACTTTGTTCTTCTTTCTCAAAATTGCAGTGGCTATTCGGGGTCATTTATGGTTCCATATAAATTTTTGAAGTGTTTGTTCTATGTCTGTGAAATATGCCATTGGTACTTTAATAGGTATTGCATTGAATCTGTAAATTGCTTTTTGTAGTATGGACATTTTGATGATGTTAATTCTTCCAATCCATGAACACAGTATATGTTTCCATTTGTTTGTGTCTTCCTTGATTTCTTTCTTCAGGGCTGTGTAGTTTTCTGCATACAGGTCTTTTACCTCCTTAGTTAGATTTATTCCCAGATATTTTATTTTTGTTTTTCCTATATCGAATGGGATTTTTTCCCTTGATTTCTGCTTCTGCTGATTCATTGTTAGTATACAAAAATGCCTTTGGTTTCTGGATATTGACTTTGTAACCCACTGATTTGCCAAATTCATTTATTAGTTTGAGCAGTTCTTTGGTAGAGTCTATAGGATTTTCCGTGTACACTATCATGTCATCTATAGACAGTGAGAGTTTTGTTTCCTCCTTTCCGGTTTGGATGACTTTTATTTCCTTTTCTTGCCTGATTGCTGTGGCTAAAACTTCCAATACTATATTGAATAGGAGTGGTGAAAGTGGACAACCTTGTCTTGTTCCTGATCTTAGTGGAAAAGATTTTAGTTTTTTCCCGTTGAGTATGATATTGGCTGTAGGTTTCTCATATATGGCCTTTATTATTTTGAGAAATGCTCCCTCTATTCCCACTTTGCTGAGTGTTTTTATTATAAATGGGTGTTGTACCTTATCGAAAGCTTTTTCCGCATCTATTGATATGATCATGTGATTTTTGTCTTTGCTTTTGTTTATGTGATGTATTACATTTACCGATTTGTGAATATTGAACCATCCTTGCATCCCTGGGATGAATCCCACTTGGTCATGGTGTATGATCTTTTTGATGTATTGTTGGATGCAGTTTGCCAATATTTTGTTGAGGATTTTAGCATCTATGTTCATCAGCGATATTGGCCTGAAGTTTTCTTTCTTTGTTGTGTCTCTGTCTGGTTTTGGAATTAAGATGATGCTGGCTTCATAAAAAGAATTTGGGAGTTTTCCATCCTTCTGGATTTTTTTGAATAGTCTGTGAAGAATAGGGGTTAGCTCTTCCTTAAATGCTTTGTAGAATTCTCCTGTGAAACCATCTGGTCCAGGGCTTTTGTGTGATGGGAGTTTTTTTAATACTGCTTCAATTTCACTTGCTGTTATTGGTCTGTTCAGGTTTTCTGCTTCTTTTTCATTGAGTTTTGGAAGATTATATTTTTCTAGAAATTTGTCCATTTCACCTAGGTTTTCAAATTTCTCGGCATATAGTTCTTCAGAGTAATTTCTTACAATCCCTTCTACTCCTGTGGTATCAGTTGTAATCTCTCCTCTTTTATTTCTGATTGTGTTTATTTGGGTTCTCTCTCTTCTGTTCTTGATGAGCCTACTTAAAGGCTTGTCTATTTTGTTTATCTTTTAAAAAAACCAACTCCTGAATTTATTGATTTTTAGAATTGTGCTTTTAGTCTCTCTGTCATTTAATTCTGCTCTGATCTTGGTTATTTCCTTCCTTCTACTTACTCTGGGCTGTCTTTGTTGTTGTTCCTCGAGTTCTTGCAGGCATAGGGTTAGATTGTTTGTTTGAAATGTTTCTATCTTCTTTAGGTAAGCCTGTATTGCTATCAACTTCCCTCTCAGGACTGCCTTCACTGTGTCCCATAAGTTTTGGGTTGTTGTGAGTTCATTTTCATTTGTTTCCAGAAATTTTTGATGTCTTCCCTAATTTCAGTCTTGACCCATTCGTTATTTAATAGCATACCATTCAGTCTCCATGATTTTGGCTATTTTCGGTTTTTTCCTTTGGGGTTGATTTCCAATTTCAGTCCCTTGTGGTCAGAGAAAATGCTTGGTATGATTTCAATTTTCTTGAATTTGTTGAGGCTCGTTTTGTGTCCTATTATGTGGTCTATCTTTGAAAATGTTCCATGTGCATTTGAAAAGAATGTGTATTTAGCTTCTTTGGGATGAAGGGCTCTATATATATCACTTAAGTCCATTTCCTCTAGGGTGTTGTTTAATGCCACAATATCTTTGTAGATATTTTGTTTGGAAGATCTGTCCATTTTTGACAGTGAGGTGTTAAAATCCCCTACTATAAATGTGTTGCTGTCAATATCTTTCTTGAAGTCCTCTAAGATTTTCTTAATATATTTCGGTGCTCCTATGTTGGGTGCATATATATTTACGATGTTAATGTCTTCTTGGTAGATTCTTCCCTTGAGTATTATGAAGTGACCTTCTGGGACTCTCTTTATAGCCTTTTTTTGAAGTCTATTTTGTCTGATATGAGAATTGCTACCCCAGCTTTTTTTCTTGTCTGTTTGCTTGGAAAATTTGTTTCCAGCCTTTCACTTTTAGTGTGTGATGGTCTTTTGTCCTGAGGTGGGTCTCTTGTAGGCAGCATATGTGTGGGTCATGCTTTCTTATCCATACAGCTATTCTGTGTCTTTTGATTGGAGCATTTAATCCATTTACGTTTAAGGTTATTATTGATAGGTACTTATTGATTGACATTTTTGTACCTGTGTTCCTCTCTCTCTCTATCTTTTCCTTCCTTTTCTTAAAGCAGTCCTTTTAGTATTTCTTGTAGAGCTGGTTTGGTGGAGGCATATTTTTTTAAGACTTATTTTGTTTTAGAAGCTCTTTATGTGGCCTTCTATCTTGATTGAGAGCCTTGCTGGATAAAGTAGTCTTGGTTGTAAGCTTCTGGTTCTCATTACTTGGAATATTTCTTGCCATTCTCTTTTTGCTTGGAGTGTTTCTTTTGGGAAGTCAGTAGTTTACCTTATTGGGGCTCCCTTGTATGTTACTTCTTTTTTTCTCCTTTGCTGACTTTAAGATTCTCTCTTTGTCTTGGAATTTTGCCATTTTAATGATGATGTGTGTTGAAGTGGGCCTCCTTGGGTTCCTCTTGATTGGGACTCTCTGTGATTCCTGGATTTGTGTGCCTTTTTCTCTCATCAGATTAGGGAAATTTTCTCTCATTACTCTTTCAAATAGGTTTTCTATCCCTTGCTCTTCTTCTTCTCCTTCTGGTATCCCTATTATTTGGATATTATTACATTTCATATTGTCTTGTATTTCTCTTAATCCCTCTTCATTCTTTCTGAGCCTCTTTTTCTTTTCTTGCTCTTTCTGTGAGTTTTTTCTACTTTGTCCTCCAACTCACTGATTCGATCTTCTGCTTCATTGATTTTACTTTTGGTACCTTCTACTGTGTTCTTCAATTTGGAAATTGTATTCTTAATTTCCTCTTGTCCCTTGCTGATAGTTTCTATTTCTTTTTCATGTTGATACAGTTTGCGGTTAGTTCATTGTAACTCCCCTGTAGTTTCTGGTAGCTCATTGTGAGCTCTTTGAAATTCCTGATAACCAGTGCTTTGAATTCAATATCTGATAGTTGACTTGCCTCTATTTCATCTGACATTCTTTCTGAGGCTTCCACCTTTTCTTTCATTTGGGGATTGTTTCTTTGTCTTCCCATTGTTTGTGAGACTCTTCTTGTTAGCCTCACCTTCTTAAATTGATCTGTTCTGTCTCCCTGGGTTTATGGTGTGAACTTCTGTGGTAGTATAGCTGTGAAATTCAGTGGTGCAGTCTCCTGCAGATATGTTAATGTTCTCCACTTCCACCTACTCCTTTTTGTGTGTGTGTGTGATCAGTTGGAGGGGGAGGCAAAATGGTTTATGACAGCGAGAAAGTATTTTATGATATTTACAGTCACAGCCGGTAGAGAAGAGATAGAAGATCTATAAGCTATATATAGTGTTAATCATAATCTTCAATCCAACTTGCCACTTTTGTGAAAGGATGGACAAAAAATAAGTCTCTTTTTGGGGAGGGAAGGCTTGTGAGTTGGATCTAGAAAGCAGTGAGGTTGCAGGTGGTAAGATTTTGAGGTAAGGTGAGTAAAGCATAGTAAATAGGTGTAGTGTGTGAACAAATAGACTTAATTACTCCAGTAATAGAATTCAGGAACCTGTAAAGTGGGCTAAGATCCGGGAGATGTTTTGTGAAGTATTTACAGTTGTAGAGAACAGGTATTATTTACAATAATATTAGAACAGCAATCATATAACAAACTCTATGTGATCTGTCTGAGTAGGGGGTATAGAGCTTTGGGTAGTGTGCTAAAGAAAAACAAGTGTCATGAAGTGTAGAAAATTAGCAATATACTGTGGAGGAAAGAACAGAGGAAACCCGTCAAATAATACAATATAACCAGCCAAGACTAAGAAGCCTATACAGAAAGAGGAGGAATACAAAGATACTATTAAAATATAAAAGAAGTGAGAATAATGAAAAATAATACAAGTATGCAGCAACTTGTGGTTTCTCTGCTATAGCAAAGTGAAATTTGTCTCTCTGTCTGTATTGTTGAGATGCCCCCTCTTTGGGTCCCACTCTGGTCTTTTCGCAGTTCCCAGTTGTTTGTGTCTCTTGTGGGTAAAAGAAAACAAAGCAACAACCAAACAAAAGAAAACAGCACAAAAAATAAGGCAGAAGAAGGGAGAAAAAAGTGATGTTTGGGAAGAAAAGAAGAATGACTAAAACAGGAAAAAAGAAAGGAGAGGAACAAAGTATTGAAATAAAGCAATAATAAAATAAAAAATATGTAAGATTACTAAAAAAAAAAAAAAACTTCCCTTGTTGGTTTTAAACTATCCAACCCGGTTTTTCTGGTTGCAGCAGGACCTCTCTGTGGACTGGGGTGCAGGCACGCACGCCAGCCAGGCCACCAGACTGGGGTGCGGGTGCCCACACACCCACCAGGCTGCCTGGGTCCAGCAGGATCTGGCACAGTCCATCCGAGTCCTGTGGCGGGAATCAAATGCTTCCGCCCCTCTTCTGGATCCCTGCCAAGCTGGGTGGGAAGCAAGCCAAGCTGCTGTCGCAGAATACTTCAGTTTACTCTCTAAAGAAATTTCTCCAGAAAGCCTGCCTCTCAGCCCAGCCTAATCCCCAGCCAGACTGGTGACAACAATGTGCCTCTCAATTCTCCTGGGCTGGCGACCACAGAGTCCAAGATTGAACATGGCCCTTTGTCCTTATTACCCTCTCTGTAAACTCAAGCAGACAGGTCTCTGCCCAGTGTTGCCCAGCCTTGCTCAGATAGGGAGGGAGGCAGCTGATGACCAGCACTGGTCACCTATGAGGCTACTGGGTGCCGGGGCTCCCGTGGATAACACTTCCGGCGCTGGTCCAAGACCGATGCCTCTGAACACAACCGGCCATGGCGGTGGCAGCAACACCAGGGCCACGGGCGCCAGCCTGCCGCCGCCTCTCCTGTCTGTCTCCGCTCAACTCCCCCAGACCCCACTGACCTTCTGATGACCGGTCCCTCAGAGTTCGTCACAATCTCTGGTTTCCCAATTTCATAAATGCTGGGGAACTGTTGGTTGATTGCGCTGTTCCTCAGTAGATCTGCCAGGATTTTCTCTCATGTGTGTAGGAGCTGGAATCTGCTCTGTCCTACTCCGTTGCCATCTCCCCCCGTGTCTGGTTCTTTTTTTCAATTAACTGCTTACATTCACTATCATTTTGTGGTTTTTGCAGGTATACAGCACAGTAGATCATATACTTCACAAAGTAATCCCCCCATAGGTCCAGTACTCAGCTGACGCCATCCACAGGAATTACAATATTATTGACTATATTCCCTATTCTTTATATCCCTGTCAGTATTTTGTAATCACCAATTGCCTTTCTTAATCCCTTCACCTTTTCACCCAGCACCATCAGTTGATTCTGTGTATTTATGAGTCTGTTTCTGTTTTCTCCAATTATTTTGTTCTTTAGATTTCACACATAAGTGAAATTATATGGTATTTGCCTTTCTCTAACTCTCTTATTTCACTTACCATAATACCATCTAGGTCCATCCATATTGTCACAAATGGTAAGATTGCATTCTTTTTACAGCTAAGTACTATTTCATTGTGTATGTGTACCAAATCGTCTTTGAAGCATAGTCTTTAGATAAGTTCTACTTGACAAGAACTACAGGGGCTGAGCATAAATTAAGCAACAACACGAAGAGGCAAACCAGGAGATAAACTGTCTGCTAACAACTTTTCTGTTCTTTTCAATAAATCAATTCTTTTCCTAGAAAAAAAACTTAAGAGATATAATAATTAAAGACAACTTATACATCCCAATTGGATCTTGTCTGAATAAATTAGTATTGTGATTATGTAAGAAAAAGTCCAAAATTTTTAGAGCTGGAAAATGATAATTATGGTTAAAATGTCATGATAGCTCTAACTGTAACATGATCTAGTAACATAAAAATATGATACAAATTTGCACAAAAAAAAACCCTAGCAATTATTGATCCTATGTGATGAGTATATGGAGGTTCATTATGTTACTCTCTCTCTTTTTCTTGTATAATAAAAAGTCATTAAAAGTATACTCTCTTGGCTTTGTGACCTTGAGTACCGGTAAATACCTTCATGTCTCTGGGAGTTCAAGTTCTTTCCCAATAAAATGGGACTAATCACACCTACCTCACGGGGTTGTAAGAATTATACAAGGTAGTTGATGAAAAGCACACAGAACAGGGCATCATATGCATGTGCATTCATTCACTGACTGTATCTTTTTAAATGTGTCTCTATTGAGGGCTTGACAGGACAGGCATGTGTTACATGTTGAGATACTGAAGACAGGAGGTTGCCGCCCGTCCATGGCGTCCATTCTAGCGTGTTTGTCAGTATTGAGGATTTCACTCTTGCTTCATTGTTCATTTTCCTCTAGGGAGACATCAGAGGAAATACAGAGGAGAAAATACCTCTTTAAACAAACAAAAAATCTACAGCAGTGACTAACATCCCTCTCTTCCCAGTCAAACTCCCATTGTGAGTTTACTTTGTCTGTATGTTGTTTTTTGCTGTTTATTTTCCTGCAATTATACCATCCCCGTGCCATCTCCAACTTAAGTGGAGGCCATAGTTTAACATTAATGGAATCAGAACACACTTTTTAAAGCTCCAACAGCAAACCCTCCTGAAGAGTATTTATACCTGCCCTTGAATTCCACCTCTGCCATGTCTCTCTGGCTATGGAGAGCTCACCTGTCTTCTCTGAGTTATACTTTCCTCAACTGCAAAAGCAGATATACCTATTTTGCCTGGTATCTGTGGGAATTGGCAATTAGAGATAATTTTTGTATAGTATCAAGTACAGCTCTCCATCATGGGGAGCTTTTATTATTGTGGTGATTAGAGTTGGTGGATAAACTGTCTACTTGCTAAGTTAACATCTCTGAGAAGGGCATGGCCAGAGCTAAAGGGAAAGGTGGGACACGGGGTCCCCGATAATCTTATCCTCTGTACAGTTAATGGTAGCTGTGAAGATACTGCTCTAACTTGAACCTTTTTAGTGTTTCAGCTGAACTGCCTATTCATCTTCAAGCCACCATGAGCTGTAAGAAACGCAGGTCACAGAAGGTCTCCTTGGATACAAAGAAAAATAAGAAAATTGAGGACTGTTTTTCTCAGGTACAATATGTTTGTAAATACTGTTTACAGAATATATAAATACTAGACTTAGCCATTCTTGACACTAGGCTTCATAGTCCTCCTGTCCAGAAATCACCCCACTGAATATAGGAAATGTTACGTAAGTTAAAATCTTTCTTGTTCATTTTTATTCTTTTCATTTTCGTGGGTGGTGGGTAAGGAGGAGTTTTAATAAACATCTTAGCCATAGCAAATCAGCCTGTAACAAAAAGCTATTATAAGACTTCCTGAACAACAAAAAAATTAAATATAATGTACAGTAAAATATGAAATAAAAAATTAAAGTTATTTCATAGCTTGACAATATATACAATGTCATGCAAATGTGGCTGATGTATTTGATAACAGCAATACAACTGTGTACGGCTTTACAATTTATGAAACAATTTTTTAAATATTTATTCTTGGTATAAGCTTATTAGGCAGGCAGGCAGGATTTTCTCATCCTCAGTTTGGTTTATAAAGAGAGGAAAGAAGTGATTTGTTCTTAAGGCCGTAGTGGGATGAAGTTTGGACTTAAGTTTGCTGACGTTAAGTGGGGGTGCTTTCTACTGACTGGGCTCTGTTGTTACATCAAACCACCAAATCCTGTCCTGAGTCTAAAATGCTCCTTGTGTTTATTAAGAAAAACAAAGGCTGAGAGATGGTGAGCAATTGAGAATGCAACTTAAAAAGCCCCTTTAAGTTCTGCTCTGATTCCAATGAGAACATCCAAGTAGGTAGAAAAGCCCATCCAAGCCCAGTTCTGTTTTTCTCCGTCCATCTCCATGACAGTGTGAGCCAATAACCATGGGGCAGGACTGACCCCAGGCCCCCTTTTAGGAAGTGTCTGTATCTTCCCCAGGATCACCGGAAGAGTTGAAAATCCCTCAGAGTGTTCCAAGGGCTGCATATCAAGGGTGTTTCTAACAGCAGTATGCTGAAGAGGGTGCCCTTTGCGAGTTTGGATGTGTGTCCAGAATAAATGTACATTACCTTATGTTTCTTCTCCTTTATCTAGAGTATTAGCACCATTACAAAGAAGGAAAATAAAAGTTAACTTACTAATGTGCTGATCATTGTGCTAGGCATTGTCACACAAGATGTGACACTTAATCTTTACAACAACCCGAGCGTTGTTATTCTTACTATCAGCAAGTGGCACCCCTCACCACCCATGCCAGGATGACTGTGACTCGGCAGAATGTATCTTTTAGACGTAGGAATCGGATGCTCTTAATTGTTTACTGAATTTTTGCGATTTGATTAATCCTCCTTATGTAATTCCTCTCCCATCCCCCAACCCTGGTTTTTAAGATAATGCCCTATAAAAAACAGGAATTTACCAAAAAAGTATATGCAGTCTAATGGAAAATATGTTGGACTATGTATTAGAGTTCTGATACTCACTTCATTAAATTGGTTACTATGTAACCCTAAGAAAGGCAGTTACAGGAGAAACTTTCTGTGCCTCGGTTTCTCCATTAAAAAGACAGAAAGGCCACATTTGTTGCTCCTCGTTTCATAGGAGTTTGGAACTATTTGATAAAGAGGAAATAATTTGAGTTCTTTGCATGTTAGATACTGGGTGAAACACAGTTTTATTTTTACAAATAACAATGTTATCATGAGCAAATAATTAGTTAACTGATAATGGTTTGTTTAACATTTAATTCTCAATTATAAAATCAATAATGGTACTTTATTCTTGCTGATTTTGGTGTTTGAAGAACAATTTTTGGCACAATCCGTCACTGTGGTCAGAAATAGTAAAAATTCCACAGCTGAAAATAGTAAATAAGACCTGAGAGAACACTGTGAGAAATGGCAAACTTTTAAGCATCTCTGTTTTTGATGCACCTACAAAAAAGTTGTTTTTCCTCATGTTTCTTATAAAAATGTACAAGTCCAGCAGTATTAAAAGCTTATCTAACTGATGGAATAGGAAACTCACCTTATATTTTGTCTCTCAACTCAAACTCTGATTTAATTCTATTCATTGGGGTTTTGCAGATTGGTTCAGAGTTTTCTATAGAAACTTTTGAGTTGCATTAGTTGATTTATAATCTTTAACATTTCCTTTTAGGTCAATAAAGAACAACAGGATAATTCCAGTGTTCCTCAAATGAAGAACAGCTCCAGAAGAAGCCCAAAAGATATAACTAATACCCAGGCTCAAAGACCCAAAGACCAGGCTGTATCCCAAAATAAGGTACTTGACATTACCTTAGATGTACCTCACAGGAAAAACAAAAAAATGAAATACCAGATCACATGTAATGAGAGGCATACTTTATCAACAGCACTTGACACTCTTCAGGTTGTCAAAGAAGAGAGAGAAACTCAGCAAGGCAAAGAAATGCTGGTGCAGGGCACAGAAGAAATTGAAGGCCACCTGAACCTTGGAATGCCCCTCAGTCATTTGCCTGCAAATTGCCACCTGGAAAATTACATTTTTAAAGTAAAACTTATGGTACTTTATTCTTGCTGATTTTGGTGTTTGAAGAACAATTTTTGGCACAATCCATCACTGTGGTCAGAAATAGTAAAAATTCCACAGCTGAAAATAGTAAATAAGACCTGAGAGAACACTGTGAGAAATGGCAAACTTTTAAGCATCTCTGTTTTTGATGCACCTACAAAAAAGTTGTTTTTCCTCATGTTTCTTATAAAAAATGTACAAGCCCAGCAGTATTAAAAGCTTATCTAACTGATGGAATAGGAAACTCACCTTATATTTTGTCTCTCAACTCAAACTCTGATTTAATTCTATTCATTGGGGTTTTGCAGATTGGCTCTGAGTTTTCTGTAGAAATTTTTGAGTTGCATTAATTGATTTATAGTCTTTAACATTTCCTTTTAGGTCAATAAAGAACAACAGGATAATTCCAGTGTTCCTCAAATGAAGAACAGCTCCAGGAGAAGCTCACGAGATATAACTAATACCCAGGCTCAAATACCCAAAGACCAGGTTATATCCCAAAATAAGGTATTTTATGTTACCTTGGATGTACACCACAGGAGAAACAAAAAAATGAAACACATAGTCACAGGTAACGAGAGGGATAGCTTATCCAACGCACTTGACACAGTTAAGGCTGTCAAAGAAGAGAGAGAAGCTCAGCAAGGCAAAGAAATGCTGGTGCAGGGCAAGGAAGGAATTGAAGGCTACCTGAACCTTGGAATGCCCCTCAGTTGTTTGCCTGCAAATTGCCACCTGGTAATTACATTTGCCCAGAATAAAAATGAGCAGAGTGAAGAGAACCAGATATTTGGTCGGCATGACAAGGCATCTACTGACTGTGTCATATTCTTTATCAACCCAATTGGAAAGACGAGGAAAAGGATTGTCAGACGCGGGGAACTTCACAAGGAAGGGATCAAACTCTGTGTCTATGCTTTCAAAGGAGAAACCATCAAGGAAGCTGTGTGCAAGGACGGCAGATTTCTTTCCTTTCTGGAGAATGATGATTGGAAACTCATTTTAAACCTGGACTCCATTGTAGAAAACACACAGTGTGTTGATGAGCTAGAGGGCAAGCTCTTCCAGGTTGAGGTTGAGAAAAAGAGGGCATCTAGGGCAGCAGCCACTCAGAGCTGTGGTGTGGTAACCACTCAGAACTGTGATTTGACAACCACTCAGAATTCTGAGTTGGAGGAAAGAAACACCATTGTGTTGAAAGGACAAATTGTGGCCCAGTACCCTAGTTTGAACAGAGAAATTGAAAAAATTAGAAAATGCTTCGAAAAAAAGATTAAAAAAAGGCAGGGGAAGAAATTATATCTTATACACAAAACAAACTTTGGGAAACTGACAAAAAATGCTACTCCGGTTAAAATGCTCAAACTTCTTTCTCATCTCTGTGACTCAGTTGGGTACTTGTCCTGGGACAACAATGGAATTAGGGGTTCTGCCACCTGCTTTGTTTTTAGAGGGTTGTTCATTTTCACTTGTCGGCATGTAATACATGATATTGTGGGAAAAGGAATAGAGCCAAGTGAGTGGGCAGACATAATTGGCCGATGTGTGAGGGTGACATTTGGCTATGAAGACAGCCAAGCAGGAGGGGACTACTTTTTCATCAAATCTTGGTTTGAGATATCTGATGAAACTCTTGATTACGCTGTTCTGGAACTGAAGGAAAATGGACAACCAGTACCTTTGGGACTATATAATGGAATTGGTCCTGTGCCCCTTAGTGGGTTGATATATATTATTGGCCATCCAGAAGGAGAGGCAAAGTCTTCCGATGCTTGCGCTGTAATCCCTCAGGGTCTGCGAGCACAGAAATATCGGGAACATCTGTGTGCTCAGGGTTTTGATGAGCATATGCAGTTTATCCATATGTTCACTCAAAGAAGTTTCCAGGAAATGGCTCCCAGAACTGATGTGATTACCTATGACACCAGTTTTTACTTTGGGTCATCTGGCTCACCAGTATTTGATTCAAATGGTTCATTGGTAGCCATGCACAGTGCTGGCTTCCGTAATTACTACCAACCTAAGTTTTCCAGTATCATTGAGTTTGGCCCTACTATGGAATCCATCCTCCATGATATTAAACAAAAGCATAGAACCTGGTATGAAAATGTCTGTGTAATGACACAGGAGGTAGAAATGGTGAGTGATGAGAATTGAGGACAGTGAGAATCCCATCTACTTCCAAAATTTAAGAGAATTAGCTGTGGAATGTTATTCCACAGGCCCTGATGAAAGTTTCTAAACTCAAAATGGATAATTGCTCACTGACCGACGTGACTCACTTGGTTGGTCCTTGTCCCACAGAGTGAAAGGTGGCTGGGTAGATTTCCAGCCATGGCACATGCCTTGGTTGCGGGCTCAGTCCCTGGTCGGGGCATGTGATAGATTTCTCTCCCTCTCTTTCTCCCTCGCTTCCTTTATCTTTAAAAATAAATAAATAAAATCTTTAAAAATTATTAATTTCATCAATAATAATTCATATTACTGACCACTTCTTTGTACCAAGCATTTTTCTAAGCACCTGTGTAAATTAGGTCTAACAACTCTACAAGGTGGATTCATAGCTCTACTTTATTTTATTGTTTAAAGACTTATTTTTAGAGAGAGTTTGCTTTTTCCAGAATGTCATGTAATCACATAGTATATAGCTGTTTTCTGATGAACTTCTTAGCAATAGGCAGTTGAAGTGCTTCTGGGTCTCCTTTCAGATTGATAGCGCATTTCTTTGTATCACTGAATAATATCCTGTTATATTGGTATACCACAACTTGTTTATTCATTCACCTTTTGAGAGAGCTCTTACTTGCTTCTAGTCTTTGGTGATTATAAATAAAGTTGTTATAAGCATTTGTGTACAAATTTTTGAATGAACATATGTTTTCAATTCAGTTGGGTAGTTGCCGAGGAGGGTGATTACCAGACTGTGTGATGAAGTCATGTTTCATTTCGTAAGTGTTGTATGTGCCGAATTGTGTTCTAACAGGGCTGTACCATTTTGCATTCTCATAAGCATTGAGGGAGAGTTTATATTCATTCACATACTCACCAGCATTTGGTATTGTAACTTTTTGGGGCTGAGAGCATATTAATACTGTTGAAATTAATAATATTCTTCAGGGGATTATAAGACTAATTCACGAAATTGGGGCCATCTTCGATAATTTAACATACATACGTATAGTTACAGTATCAGTCTGTATTCTGACAGGAGAGTAAAAATTACTATAAGTATTACAAGAATGTGGTGTTTGATTAGGATCAGGGGTTCGATGAGTGGGAGGAGCAGGGGAAGAGATCTGTAAGGCTGCAGCCAGAGGAGTGAAGTAGCTGATTGAAGTGGGGGAGTCTGAGACCGTCCCAGCTCTTGTCACCATGATGGCTAACTAGTCACTTACAGAAAGGCTGCAAAATTGCCACGTCAGATACAACCTACAAGTGGGAGCTTGTGTAGATATTACACCATCCTCTCTCACTTCCATGATCATCCAAAAAATAATGTCGAATACTTCATTTTCTCCTCCCTGGTTTCTTAAGAGTTATTCTCATTGATGAATGTGCTGACCTTTAACACACAGGGATTCTGGGAAAAAGTAGTTCTCAGTTTTATAAGGAAGTGGTGTTGGCCAGTGAAGTTGTAATGCAGTTTTTATCATGAAATGTATGTCACAACTTTGATTACTAACTGCAAAAAAATCAGCATATTCCTATTGCTATTATCATGCTATATATAAATCCTATCACCAGGTGTTTCTTGTTAGATAAAATAATCTAACACAGAGAAGTATCAAGTTGACAAATCAGGCTAAAATTTGACACAGGTAGAAAAAGAAAACATTTTCTTCCTGTTTCTTTTTTATCTTTCATAGTGCCCACCTCTTTTCTGTCCTTGCTTATTTCCACGTGGGAATTCCAGGTAAGCTTGGAAAGGCATTAAACAGGGCCCTTTTTTTCACACTGATACTTTCTTTCCCAAAGCATTCATTTTTTGTGTGTGTCCCCCCCAAAAACATATGTCCAAGTCCTAGCTGTCGGTTATCTGTGAATGTGAATTTGACTTTTTCAGAGATCAAGTCTTTGCAGATGTAATCAAGTTCAAGATCTCTAGAGGAGATCATTCGGATTTCTGGTGGGCCCTAAATCCAATGACTTGTGTCCTCATGAGGGACAGAAGAGGCAGGTTTGACCCAAGAAGAAGGCCTTGTAGGGGGAAAGAAAAGAAAACATGAGTATGTGTCATGGAGGTGGGCCAAAGGGAGAGGAGAAAGAAAGCCAAGAAGCCCACCAGCTTCCCTCCAGGCTGGAATCCATTTCGCAGCCGCTGCCTCATTTAGATCCACCCTCCCTTCGTACACAGTGGGAGCCAACCCTGTCACTTGTTTGCCAGCCCCCAGGTCTCTCCAGTCCTTTCATTTCCTCTACTCAACTTCTGAACGCTGTCCAGAGCTCTCGATGCAAAGATGCTGGAATCTGTGAACATGGAATGGGACTCTGTCACCATGGCATGGTGCAGGCATTCGGGAATTTAAGACCCGAGGTGTCACCAGGGCAAGGTGTAGGGGAAGGGGCACAGAGCCTCCTGCCCATTCCAGGGGCTCCACTCTCCCAGCACCTTCCCACGTTCACCAACTGATCTTGCTGTTTCATGGCAATAACTGTTGAGTAGCTTTAGGTGGGCTAAACCTTGAAAGTTCATTCAGTTGAAGCCATGGAATATTAGGAAAAACGAGGAGCCCTGGTCATGTGGCTCAGGTGTCTGGAGGTTCATCCTGCGCACTTAATAGTTGTGGTTTGATTCCCGGTCAGGACACACACCTAACATGCACCTTCAATGCACGGTAGTGGTGTGGACCGAAGGCAACCGATCAGTGTTTCTCAGTGACATTCATGTACCTCTCTCCTCTCTCTCCCTTACCCTCTCTCCAAAATTCAATAAACATATCCTCTGGTGGAGATTTAAAAAATGAAAATACGTCAAGAATTTAGAGTGTCTGTGGCTGCTTTTGTAAAGTGTAATGAATACACCTTCTTAATTAGACAACTTAATTAGAAAAGTTAAAACATGGAAGTTCATTTGGTTGGACCCAAAGCACCACAGCCACTAAAAACCAAAAATAAAAGCTTGCAGTCCCTCTGGTCTCCCTCCTCACTCATCCCCTGATCCCTTTTTTCCCTTTACAGAAGCCTCCACTGCTTTTGGGGAAAGATAATTAGAGATGGAGCTGAGATCCCCCCGCCCCCAAAGATCCCAAGACCATCCACTCTCGTGTGAACACTGGAGGGAAGGAATCCAACTTGGCCCAGTTGACTCCAGGTGCCCAAATTACCTTCCTTCTCTATTCCATAAAAGGAAAAGATTCTGGGCGCAGGAGTGGTCAGACACCAAGAACTGAGGGATGGAGCTGATGCATTGGGGTGGGGGGCGTGCAGAAAGGGCTCCTGGGTCTGGGTGCTTACCAGACACCGAGAGGCACCTGGGAGAGGAACTAACACTGTGCCTAGATGCTAACCTTGGAAAAATAGGACGAGGTCAGGAGAAAGACTGGAGTGATCCGTTAGATGGGGCTCCGTGTACAGTCGTGGGCTCGACGCGTTCCTATGCCAGCTCTTCTCTCTCATTAAGTGCCAGAGGGGATTCTCCTATTCAGAAACTGCTTCATGTGGAGCATATAGATTGTCCCCAAACCATTTCACTGTCTCCTCTGAATATCCCAACAAAAATAATATAGAATCCCCAAAAGAAGGAAGGGAAATCCCAGATTGGGTTAAACACTGAAAGGCTGCAGTGCACGCACAGGCCATTTTCTGGTGCACACTGCCACCTGCTGGATGCAGCCTCCAGGGCACCCCTTCCGAACAGAGGCAACCATTATTAACCTGTTGCTAAACTGTGTTGAAACTGATTTCTCCACCCAAAGGGGTGTCTTCCGTCTGGCATTCCTTTCTGGGGGTGGTTCGGCTCAGACTCATTGGCTTAAAAAGGAAGGATACAAAATGCCTTGGTACTGAAACACAAATGGTGTGTGTGTGTATATTCAGGAGCTCAGCCAGCTTGGCCTTGGCATCCTCTTGGATTTTACATGAAAAAAAAAAAAAAGACTATTGCCTTTCTGGGGAAAACTTAATGCCTTACTTCGTCATCTGGATTTCGTTCTTCTCCTCCAAATAGGGTCACCCTGTCGTCTGACAGGCAGAGCGATGCAAGATCATCCCGATTCTGTCAGAGACAAAAGCGACTTGAGACCGAGTCACAGCATGTAAAGCTCTATCTACCTCTGGTCTCTCCACTTCTTGAGTTTAGCCTTCAAGGGATCCCAGCGAAGAGCTTGCGATGTTTCCTCGCACCCGTTCCCTTACCCAGCCCTGCACTCCAGCACTCTGCCCCACTTTTCATCGACTCACCGGGATGGAGTGGTCAGGTAGCAGGGCAGGAAAGGTAGTGAAGTCCTTAAAAATCTACAGAATATAGAAATAAAGATCTCTGTTATATATGCATTTCACTTATCAGTCTGGCCCCCTGCAGAAACCGGGTAAGTCCGAGAGAACGACAGCTGACTACCACGGAGGAAAACCAAGGGGTAGGTCCAGTCGCAGCCACTGTGCCAGATGTGGTGTTAAATTAGCACTGCATTGTATGTGGCCACTGATTGAACAAATGCATTGTTTTCTGTCACAGTCAGGAAAGGGGATCACAACCAGTTCAACAGAGATGAATGGAGTAGACGATAGAATATGTATTTTTGTTTAAATCCAGGACTATATTAATACTCTCTTCTTTTGTTGTAACACAGATAGGAAATGTCTGGGCAACTTGTGCTTCCTGTGGCCCACTCCATCAATCCACTCTATCAATGATATCATGAATATCAGGCCAGATGAACAACACTGAGAGATGATGGTCCACACACATTTCAGATGATGGAAGGTGAAGAATCAGAGGTGAAGAATCAGAGGTCGACTAGACCAGGGAGATGCCCAAGATATCTCCTGCAAAGGAAAAGATAAATTACTGAATCACACACACCCCACTGTGGAGAAAGACGTGCATTGCCTCTTTGGTTTCCGAAGGCAGCATATTCCACACCTGGATACACTGCTTCTGCCTGTTTACAGGGGGACGCAATAGGCTGCCAGCTTCAAATGAGGCTTAGATTAGGGAAGGGTCTGAAGGAGATCCTGGCTGCTGCTCGGACCGTGCAGCCCAGGTGACCCTATGGCATTAGAAGTATCAGATGTGGGAAACATACCAGGTGGAGTTTCTGGCAAGCCCGCATGGAAGAATCACAGTGCAGGCTCCTGGGATGATAGAGCAAGGCCATCCCCTCTGCAGTGGAAATGCACACCTTTTGAATGACAACTCCTGGTGTATACTTGGCCCAGTAAATATGGAGCACCTGACCTTGAGACATTGCATGACTGTGCATCCAGAACTGCCCATGGTGTAGTGCATTCCATTAGATCTGCCAAGTCATAATATCAGATGTGGCCAGAAACTGTGTCTTGCAATATGAAGGTGATGCACCCAGGACTGAGTATGAACAGCACAAAAGATCAAAAGTGAGCCACACGAGCAATGTCGGGAGCAATTCCTGCAAAGTCATCCACACCTGATTTCTGGGACTGTGTTAGGTTACACGGCAAAGGGAAAATGTGGGGCACCTCTGATTGGCCATTTAACTCCTGAGCTCCCTGTTGGCCAACACTGGTACAGCCTACAGTTCAGAAGGCCCCAAAGATCACCTTCAGGTTCAACAGTTTTGTAAAAGGACTCCTAGAACTCAGAAAACTGTTATCATCATGGTTATGGTTTATTATAGTCAAAGGATGCAGATGA